AGAACTGGTATTCGAACATGAAAACATCATGGCCCCAAAATGTTAAGATGAGCTGATAGGAAGGAATTTGCTATTTTTTTAAACCATTCCCAAGAGTGTTAACAAATTTACAACCCAAAAAAGTGAAGTTTAATGCCATTCAGCTGTTGGGGTTATAAAATCAATGGCACAGCTGCTGTGGAAAATGGTGTGGTACTTCCTCAAAGAGCTAGAAATAGAAATGCCTTATGATCCAGCCACCCTGCTCCTTAGTTTCTATCCTACAGGTAGAAGGGCAGTGACAAGAATGGGCATATGCACACTCGGATTCGTTGTAGCTGCAGCAATCACAATAGCAAGAAGGTACAAAACAGCCCAAGTGTCCATCAGGGGGTGAATAAATAAGATGGGGAGTGTGTGTGTACAATTTCAATATTATATGTCTATAAAGAATAATAGGAACTCTGGTGGCCTTGTGGTAAGAAGCGGTGCCTGAAATCTCAAACATACACAGTTCAAATCCCCCAGCTCCTCTGCTGAAGAAAGATGGACAATGTCCTCCTGGGTGATTGATGTTTTGTGCCATTGAGTAAAAACCAACCCCTAGCTGAACCTCTGGTGGGTTTTCAGAGGCAGCTAATCACACGGGAGGAGGTTGCCCATCTGAGAGATTTACAGCCTCTAAAAACCTGCCAGGGGGTTAGCTATGGGTCAGATCCAATTCGATGTCACAGTAACATGAAGAAGAATAGGTGACTTAGGCTGTAGCTATAGGCTGTAGCCACTAAACTCTGTGGCTTAGGCTGTAGGGAGTTGTGCTGGTAACTCAAAAGCCTCATCTTTCTGGTGGTCGAAATCCACGAGGGGCTCTGAGGGGGAAAGATGGGCAGTCTCCCTCCCATGTGATTTACAGCCTCTGAAAATTCACTGGAGGGTCAGCTATGGGTGGTGCTGACTTGACAGTGATGAGAAGTCCATGAAATTGAATGTGGATGAATGTGGAGGGCATTACGCTGAGTGGAATAACTCAATCAGAAAAGGACACAGACTCTAAGGTCTTTGTTATAAACTCCAAAGACTTTTTATTATAAACTCTAAAGACTGTAAGGTCTTTGTTATAAGGTCTGCTATAAACAAGCCGGAAGAGGTCTACACACAGCAAGCAGCATTCATTGCTGTTTAGCAGGGCTGGGAGTGGGAGCCAGTTACCTGTTAGATAGTGGGTACCTGCTGTTTCCGGGGACTGGAGTGGTCATGCACAGTATAGGGAAGGTCAGCACAGCTTGGCCATGCTGAGTAAGGACACCGAGAGGTAACCAACCACAAAGGACATTTGTTGTAGATAGTACCGCATACATGATTTGACAAAAGTCAAAAAATAGATGCAGCGGTGGAGACATACGTGTGTTATG